GTTTCATTCTGCTTTATGTCCCTCCTCGGCCTGGCTTGCGTTGGACAGAGGACTCTGAGCTGAAGATTGAGTCAACTGTTATCTTACGTTCTTGCCTATATTTTCTGGCAACCCGTCACAATTTAAGGTTGATGGTTTAGCATTTGAAAATGAAGAAATTAAGACAGAAATATACTTTTTTTTAAATGTATTTTGCACTATTATATATACTGTATATTGTATTTCTTGTTTCGGTTAATATTTTTATGTAGTAATAATCAAAAATATTTTATATAAATTAAAAATTACAAATAAAATAAATACAAACTTGTTTAATTAATAATAAAACATAATGTAGAACTTCACACTCAAACTGGCAATGCGCATATATATACAATATATTTCTTGATTAATTTTTAATCAAAAATAATAAAACATTTTAATACAAGTAAATAATTCATAATAAATTATAAAATAAATAATAATAATGATACATTTGTTTATTAATAATAAAAAATGATGCATAGCTTCACTCTGAAACTGGCAACTTTCTATTTTTATATTTTTGTATCACTATTATAATATAATTTTTGTTTTGTTTAATATTTTATTTAATAATAATCAAATAAAATAATAAATTTAAGATAATAAATATTTATAATTAATAATAAAAATTATTATATTATTAATATTATTTTATACATCAAAATCACCCCACTAAGTCTATTAAGATTAGGGGCGTGTAAACGGTGTGTAAGGGGCGTGTAAGTGGTGTGTAAGCGGTAAGTGGTGTGTAAGGGGTGTGTAAGTGGTGTGTTAGCGGTGTGTAAGGGGCGTGTAAGGGGTGTGTAAGCAGTGTGTAAGCGGTGTGTAAGTGGTGTGTAAGCGGTAAGTGGTGTGTAAGGGGTGTGTAAGTGGTGTGTAAGTGGTGTGTTAGCGGTGTGTAAGGGGCGTGTAAGGGGTGTGTAAGCAGTGTGTAAACGGTGTGTAAGTGGTGTGTAAGCGGTAAGTGGTGTGTAAGGGGTGTGTAAGTGGTGTGTAAGGGGTGTGTAAGCGGTGTGTAAGCAGTGTGTAAGGGGTGTGTAAGTGGTGTGTTAGCGGTGTGTAAGTGGTGTGTAAGTGGTGTGTAAGTGGTGTGTTAGCGGTGTGTAAGTGGTGTGTAAGTGGTGTGTTAGCGGTGTGTAAGTGGTGTGTAAGTGGTAAGTGGTGTGTAAGGGGTGTGTAAGGGGTGTGTAAGCGGTAAGTGGTGTGTAAGGGGCATGTAAGGGGTGTGTAAGCAGTGTGTAAGCGGTGTGTAAGTGGTGTGTAAGCGGTAAGTGGTGTGTAAGGGGTGTGTAAGGGGCGTGTAAGTGGTGTGTAAGCGGTGTGTAAGCAGTGTGTAAGGGGCGTGTAAGCAGTGTGTAAGCGGTGTGGAAGTGGTGTGTAAGCGGTAAGTGGTGTGTAAGTGGTGTGTAAGCGGTGTGTAAGGGGTGTGTAAGCAGTGTGTAAGCGGTGTGTAAGCGGTGTGTAAGTGCTGTGTAAGGGGTGTGTAAGGGACGTGTAAGTCAAGTCAAGTCACATTTATTTATATAGCGCTTTTCACAATACAGATTGTATCAAAGCAGCTTCACAGTGATAACATGTAAGTAGCACAACACAGATCAACAACATTGCTAAACACTAAATAACCCCAACTGAGCAAGCTCAAAGCAAGGCGACAGTGGCAAGGAACCAAACTCCATCAGATTGGATGGAGAAAAAACCTTGGGAGAACCCAGTGTAAGGGGTATGCAAGGGGCGTGTAAGTGGCGTGTAAGCGGTGTGCAAGCGGTGTATAAGCGGTGTGTAAAGGGTTGTGTAAGCGGTAAGTGGTGTGTAAAGCCTGTAACAGCAGCTCTGCTATAGCGGCACGGCACAGAAACCAAATCTCCCACTTTACTTTTCCTGAATCCAGTCCAAAATACACCCTGGAGAATCCCAGCTTCTCCATATCAGAGCATCTTATTCCCAACCGCACATAATGTGGGAATTAAAACACACAATGCACTCAAAGAGGAGTGTGTTCATCATGGACGCCGTCGAGAGACTCTGCTGAGGAATGAATGAATTGTGTGGATTTGAGATTGGATGAATGTAATGTTTCAGTGTTTCTCTCTGGAGTTTGTGAGCCAATCTAGAGGTGGTTGGACCAATCTAGAGCAGTCTGGATGAATATTTTGTGCATTTTTAAAGTCAAATGCATAAATCTAGTGCACTTGGAGAGCTGAAGTAAGAGCGCTAACCCCATTTCAGTGAACAAATTTACTAATAGGCTCATTTTACAACTCCCTCAGAGTTAAACAATTCAGTTTTACCATTTTTGAATCCACTCAGCCGATTTTCTGATATTCCATTGACTTCCATAGTAGGAAAAAATACTATACTATGGATACTATGGAAGTCAATGGGACCAGAAACTGTCTGGTTACTGATATTCTTCTAAATATCAGAAAATCGGCTGAATGGGTTCGAAAACGGTAAAACACGACTGTTTAACTTTGGGGGAGTTGTATAATGAGCTTATTTCCAAAAAAAGAGGAGTATCCCTTTAACGTCAGCTTGCAAAACTGTTGCTCTCACTTTCAAAAGTTGTACATTTCCCAGAGAAACTTTACGTTGCTTGCAATACTTTTGCATTTTTTCTCAAAACATTTTCGTTCCCACAAGAAATTTTGCATTCATTCGCACAACTTTATCTTGCAAAACCCTCTTGACACTTTATGATGGATGTAATGTGAGGTTGGAGGAAAAACTATACACCTTATTCAGAGCAGCGCCATGACAGGTATGAAAGTGAGGCTGTGAGGGATAGACTTACTGTGTTTCCAATGGCATCCGCTGTAAAAAGCTGAATAAAACTGCTAGATACTTACAATTTTCCACAGCTTACATTGTCGGGAGTTTTTTGTCAACTGAAATTTCTTGGAAAGATATTTTTTCAGTGTTTCATGAGCAGAACAATCCGAAAACACATTAAATAACAGTACAGCCCATTGAAGAGATGCATGACTATCCCTCACAGCCTCGCTTTCATTCTCATTAAAAATCAAAGATGGCGCTGCCGTGAATAAGGCGTATTTATCAGTGCTTTTGCATGCAAAGTTTCTCAGGGGAACGCAAAAGAGAGAACACGAATCTTTCACGTTTCACACCGTGACTGTTGTGCATCATGATGTCACTGTCAGACAGGACAGATGTGTGATCCGGAAACACTGGAAACCGGATCACGGCGGATCGGGACTCGGCACATGCTCAGGGAATGAGAATCTTTATTTGTCATTATACGATAGAGTACAACGCAATCATATGCAATCCTGCCAGTGACACGAAACACCGAGTTCCTGTTGTGAGAGCCAGACAGACAGGAAGTGATGAGGTGTGAAAAGGGGGCGGAGTCAGTGAGACAGGGCCTCAGTGTTTGCTCTGGTTTAGCGTCAAATATTCTGTTTTACCAACAACCCAAATTCCGGCGTTGGCCTCTTGGCCCGCCGCTAAATGTGCTCTGCGTCCTGGAACTAATGGACTTAAGGAGAAGCGCGGCGGCGGCGGAGGAAAAACTGCTTATGCTTCAGGCCGAAGAACACAAGGAGAGGCTGATGGGAAGGTTCAATAGGTCACTGATGGGAATGTGTGTGTGTCTTGAGTCAGTGTGTGAGAATAAGAGAGATCGTGTTACAAAGAAAGAGTGGTGTGTACAAATTGGTAAAAAAAATATCTCATTTGTTAATGTTAGTTATTACAGATACTTTTGCACCTGAAAAAAAAATATATTTCCTTAAATCACTTAATTTCATAGATTGGAGCCTGACATCCAACTGAAAATCCTCCAATTTCTAAATAACTGAATTGCTTTAAACAGGGTTCGTACAAGGTGTTTAAAGTGCTTGAATTTGACTATACATACACACACACACACACACACACACACACACACACACATATATACGTATATATATCTAATGAGCCGTACAGCGTTTTTTGTTGGGTTATCGTTGAGTTACCGTTGAGTTACCATTGTGTTGTCGTTGGGTTTTTGTTGGATTACCTCGTTGGGTTATCGTTGTTATCGTTGAGCTATTGTTGAGCTATCGTTGAGCTATCGCTAAGCTATCGCTGAGCTATCGTTGAGCTATCGTTGACGTTGGGTTATCGTTGGGTTAACGTTGAGCTATTGTTGACGTTGGGTTATCGTTGGGTTAACGTTGAGCTATTGTTGACGTTGGGTTATCGTTGGGTTAACGTTGAGCTATCGTTGAGCTGTTGTTGACGTTGGGTTATCGTTGGGTTAACGTTGAGCTATCACTGAGCTATCGTTGAGCTATCGTTGATGTTGGATTATCGTTGAGCTAGCATTGAGCTATCGTTGACGTTGGGTTATCGTTGGGTTAACGTTGAGCTATCGTTGAGCTATCACTGAGCTATCGTTGAGCTATCGTTGACGTTGGGTTATCGTTGAGCTAGCATTGAGCTATCGTTGACGTTGGGTTAACGTTGAGCTATCGTTGAGCTATCACTGAGCTATCGTTGAGCTATCTTTGACTTTGGGTTATCGTTGAGTTATCATTGGGTTAACGTTGAGCTATCGTTGAGCTATCACTGAGCTATCACTGAGCTATCGTTGAGCTATCTTTGACTTTGGGTTATCGTTGAGCTATCGTTGAGCTATCGTTGGGTTAACGTTGAGCTATCGTTTATCGTTGAGCTATCTTTGACTTTGGGTTATCGTTGAGCTATCATTGGTTAACGTTGAGCTATCGTTGAGCTATCACTGAGCTATCACTGAGCTATCGTTGAGCTATCTTTGACTTTGGGTTATCGTTGAGCTATCGTTGAGCTATCGTTGGGTTAACGTTGAGCTATCGTTTATCGTTGAGCTATCATTGAGCTATTGTTGAGCTATCGTTGACGTTGGGTTATCGTTGGGTTAACGTTGAGCTATCGTCTGTCTGTGTGTCTGTAAATGTTCCATATATCTGAACAGAAGAGTTGTGTGTGTTGTGCAGTTCCCCCGCGGTGTGTTCGTGACGGGCAGGAGTTTGCGGAGGGCGAGGTGTATCGCATGGACTCGTGCTGGAGGTGTCAGTGTCGAGGAGGAGTGTCCTTCTGTTCCCGGGCCGAGTGTGCCGAGCCGGACTGCCAGAACTTCTACGTTCCCGAAGGAGAGTGTTGTCCCGTCTGTATAGGTATGAACATCATCGGCTGAGAGCGTGTGTCTCCACACCACTGAATCGGTGGAAATCAGTTCAGATTCTGATTCAGACCGTAAACCATTTTTGAGTGTAAAATACATTTTATTTTCACTATTTAATTTCATTTTTTTATGTGAATTTACAGTGATGCATTAGGCAGATGCTTTCATCCAAAGCAACCTAAATTTCATTAAAGGCGTGCTTTTTGCTTTTTTCCCAGTTCAAGCATTTCTTGGGAGCCGAACCCATGACCTCGGGATTGTGCCGTGTTGAGATATTCATCAGCCACCCAGTTTTATCATAAGCACTGGTTTTAGTACATTTCCAGAAGCTCAAACAGTAAAGCATGGCGGTAGCAACACCAAGGTCTTGGGTTCGACTCCCAGGAAAACAAGAACTGAGGAAATGTAATAGTGGCGTGAATGCAATGCAAGTCGCGACGGGAATAAAAGTGTCTGCCTAATGCATGAAGCTGATGGTTTCATCTAAAACCAGTCTCTTATAGTTGATTGCAATTAAAGATAAACTATAATAAGGAAAAAAATCACATTTTTGATGACAGGTCACAGACCAGTGAAAACACAAACTCAACAGTGACACCCTGAAGATTACACACGTCTCAGATTTCAGTCACAGTCGCAGATCTGTGCGTTACAGCCGTGCCCTTGTGCTCCTAAAGGTTAAAGGTCAAGCTCATATAGTTTCTGTGAGACCAACTGTAGTCAACAGATCAGATTTGTGCTCTTGCTCTAAAAGTTTCAATGGTAGATTCTCAGTTAACATTTTCCCATTCGAATGAACGTGTTTTGCATGCAGGACAAAAAGTCAGAATTGTGCGTTGTTTTTAAATTTACGTTTTTATACTTTTATTTCGTGGCGGAAATTATTCTTCATACCTTTGAACCAGAAATAGATAATTTTCTGAATTCATAGCCACTTAATGGGCTCAGCAGTGTGTGTGTGTGTGTAGATGTGGAGCTGCTGTCGGTGGAGAGCTCGAAGGCCAGCTGTTGGGTCAGTCACACACTGCGAGCGCACGAGGAACAGTGGAAGGAGGACGACTGCACGTTCTGCCAGTGTGTGGATGGAGAACCGCACTGCACCGCCATGGCCTGCAAACAGAGCTGCCAGAACCCGGTCAAGATCCCCGGAGAGTGCTGTCCGTTCTGTGAGGGTACGAAGCAACACAAACGCTTGATATCTATATCTATGTAAGGGTTAATGCCCGACGAGGTGTCCATTGTCAGGTTTTAATGGACGACGGCGAGGCGTGAACCAGCTGACGCGCAGCGTCCATTAAAGGGTTAGTTCACCCAAAAATGAAAATTAAGTCATTAATTACTCACCCCCATGCTGTACCAACCCCGTAAGACCTTCGTTCGTCTTCGGAACAAAAATGAAGATATTTTTGATTAAATTTGAGAGCTGTATAACTACCACATTGGCTCCTAAGGGACTGCCTCTTGACGGCCCAGAAAGTCAATGAAGAAAATGTTTAAATATCCCAAGTGACTACCGTGGCTCAACTATATGTTTATCAAGCGACGCGAATACTTTTTGTGCGAAAAAACAAACAAAAATAACGAGTTTATTCGACTATTCCTTTTCTTCCTTGTAGGCCAGAAACGAGATTTCCTTATAGATTTCCACGACGCATGCGCGAGAATTGCGATCTGCTCACACTACTTCAGTTCAATTCTCGCGCATGCGTCGTGGAAATCTATAAGGAAATCTCGTTTCTGGCCTACAAGGAAGAAAAGGAATAGTCGAATAAACTCGTTATTTTTGTTTGTTTTTTCGCACAAAAAGTATTCTCGTCGCTTGATAAACATATAGTTGAGCCACGGTAGTCACTTGGGATATTTAAACATTTTCTTCATTGACTTTCTGGGCCGTCAAGAGGCAGTCCCTTAGGAGCCAATGTGGTAGTTATACAGCTCTCAAATTTAATCAAAAATATCTTCATTTGTGTTTCGAAGACGAACGAAGGTCTTACGACTTAATTTTCATTTTTGGGTGAACTAACCCTTTAAAATCTGACAATGGACACCTCGTCAGGCATTAACCCGCTTATACCATGGTCACTTGCCAAATAAAACATTTTTAAAACATTAGCTGCTAGTTTATATTTTAATTAGGCTAAATCTAGTTTTTACAAATATTTATAGTCCGAGATATGTATAGTCCGCTCAGCTTGTAGAGCCCTTCAGGTTCAAAAATGCATTTTTTTTTTCATGAAACACAAAGGTAGGCATAGGTATTTTTTTTTAATTACACATAAAACAATTAATCAAACAGGCTTCTTAGGCTTGAAACGCTGTACTCTCCTCCTGCCTTGGTTGTCTGGACTGCTGCGTAAAACTCCTGCAGGGTCTCATTCAGAGCAGCAGCGTGTAATTTTCTTTGTGACGTTTCTTTGTTTTATTTTAGGGCTGTGCAAAAGTTAATTGCGATTAATCGCATCCAAAATAAAAGTCTGTTTTACATAATATATTTGAGTGTGCTGTATATAATTATTTTGTATATATAAATACCTATGCATGCATGTATATATTTAAGAATTATTTGCGCTTAAATTCTGTATATATATATATAAATACATAATCTATATTATACAAATATAAATATTTTATATAGGAATAACACATTTTCTTAAACATATACATGCATGTGTGTGTATTTATATATACAAAATAATTATATACAGCACACACAAATATACTATGTAAACAGAGACTTTTATTTTGGATGCGATTAATCGCAATTAACTTTTGCACAGCCCTATTTTATTTACATTTTTTCTTTCTTCAGCAGCGTCCCAGTCATCAAAGTTGTCATATTCAGTTGTCATATAGTTGCTCATTGTTGTATTAGTAGGCTATAATATCTAACTAACGTTAGATGTTGTTTTGATAGAGCAAATTGTTAACGGATACTTTGACTGCCTGTTGCTATGGTTACTCACAGCTGTTGTGGGCAGCGCATTTATTTATTAATTTCGAATAGTAAACAGGCAGTTTCACCAGAACTACTTTAATAGGTGTCCTCTATCACTTTTAAACGGACACCCTGCAGCCAATCAGAATCGAGTATTCACCCAGACAATGGTATAAATATCTATAATCATAATACGGTTACCCAGCGAGCAATATCTGTCATTGCATTCTCGGTGAACTGTAGACCCGATGTAGTCCGGTGATCAAAACCTTTCATCAAAGTTATATATGAATTTTGAACATTTACCCACTCGTGTCTTATGCCAGGTTTGATTGACTTTTTTGATCCACTTCAAATGTTGACTACTGTACATATACTGTACACACACACACAGTAATGCTGTAATGGAAGCACAGGTTCAGTTCCTGCTTCAGGCTGAAATCTGTCTCTGTTTAGCGGTAGCTCCAGATATTGCCAAAGGTTTATTGTATCTGGAGCTCTTGAAACACACACGTACACACACACACACACACACACACAGCCCATTAAAGCTGAAGCTGACGTGTGTGTGCTGTGCACTACAGAAGCTTTGGCTTTTACTGCTCCGACCTGCCAAATGGAAGCCACCTGTGTGCTTAATTACAGATTTCTGGAGGAATAATTAGTCACACTTCTTTACCTGCGGACGTGCCAACATGTCTGCGATTGATGCTTCTGCACATGTGATCTCAGCGTGTTCCTCTAAAACCAAGGTTTGACGGCCGTGTTTGATTAAGAGACAATCAAAAGAGAAGCGCAGTCATCAGGGCCGTCAGAGATCATGTAATTGCTCGGTGTTTACGTGTAAGCGATGTAAACCGGACGCTTCTGCTTGCAGTTAAACTGTAAACCTGTGAGGATGCGTTTGTAGCGAGCGACCCCCGGATCGGATCGCATGTGCCAAACAACAGATGCATCCACAGTCTCACACGCAACATGCACCAGTGTTTACCAGACACATCTGAGCGCTTGCAACACCGCTATAAATCTTACTTTCTCTGGAAAGTAGAAAATAGTCAACGTGAAATCAAATCTGATGTTATTCTAAAGAAAAAAATGTCTTCATAAGCAAAGTATGGGTGGTATTGGGTCATTTAGCACTGGGTGGAGGGACCAAAATCTCATTTCCCAGAAGGAGTTGTTTACATGTTTAATTGTTAAGACTAAAATTCATCTAAAAAGTTATTTATATATTACATGCATGCAGTATATACACTATAAATTACCTATATTTAAGTGCTGGGCAATGATTAATCACGTCCGAAATAAAAGTTTGTGTTTACATAATATATGTGTGTGTGCTGCATGTATATTAATACATGCATGTATATTTAAGAAAAAATATTATTTATATGTAAATATTTATATTTATATTAGGGCTGTGCAAAAATTAATTGCGATTAATCGCATCCAAACTAAAAGTCTGTGTTTACATAATATATTTGTGTGTGCTGTATATAATTATTTTGTATGTATAAATACACACGCATGCATGTATATATTTAAGAAAATGTGTTATTCATATATAAAATATTTATATTTATATCATTTAGATTATGTATTTATATATATATAGTGTATATACAGAATTTAAGCGCAAATAATTCTTAAATATATACATGCATGCATAGGTATTTATATATACAAAATAATTATATACAGCACACACAAATATATTATGTAAACACAGACTTTTATTTTGGATGCGATTCATCGCAATTAATTTTTGCACAGCCCTAATTTATGTATAATATAAATTATATATAAATCAGTATTTACATGAAAATATTTCTTAAATATATAAAAGCATGTGTGTGTATTTATATATATGCAGAATAATTATACACAGTGCACCCACTTATATTATGTAAACAAACTTTTATTTTGGATGCGATTAATCGTGATTAATCGTATGACAGCCCTAGTGTATACATGGAAATATTTCTTAAATATATACATGCATATAAAATAATGATATATAGTACACACACATATATATTATGAAAACACAAGCTTTTATTTTGAATGTGATAAATCGTTGCCCAGCACTAAAACAAATATTTTTTTTACAATTTTCTCAATCAAAGAATCCACAAAAATATGAAGCAGCACAACAGTTTTCAACACTGATAATAATCATAAATGTTTGATCATCAGATCCTCATATTAGAGTGATTTCTGAAGGATCATGTGACACTGAAGACTGCCGTAATGATTGATTTGATCACAGGAATAAATTACACGCTAAAACAGCGATTTTTAATTGTAATAATATTTTTGCTGTATTTTTGCTCAAGTAAATGATGCTAGCTGTCTTTCGTCTCTCTGAAAGCTTCATTAATTGGTGAAAAGAAAGCGAAACTATCTGAGTTTCTCTCTTCCAGAGCCGTCGTACGAGACTGTGAGTCCGCTGCTCTGCCCACCGCTGGAAAACTGCTCTCTCTCCGGGAACGAGTGTCCGTTCGGCTTCCAGCAAGATCCCAGCGGGTGTTTGCTGTGCCAGTGTGTCAGCAGTGAGTGCACACACACACACACACACAAACCCATGAGAACTGTGTTGCGTGCAAGTCTGTGTTTGAGAAAGTGCCAACGGCCCGCAACACAAGCAAACACTGACGCGAGCAATAATGATCTCAGACACGAATCCACCTCACAAATATGAACAATAATCCCCACGACAGGAATTATTCTCAAGCTTTTTAGTCATGTGAATCGTCAGGGTCAGGGGTCAGTCGGGCGGTTGGGCATCATGGTGCTCGTGGGATTGGAAGCTGCTCTGAAGAATATGTAGTTCTTAGAAAATGTGCAACATGCACTAACATCATTTTAAAAATGAAGATTGGGATTTCTGCACCACTAGCAGCATCAAACGTTTTTGCAAATAAAAATAATTCGATTTGAGTTTTAACCAATTGTACTTGACTTTCTGTAAAGCGTTTATCGACTTGACCGTTTTTTATGCAGTCAAACCAAACATCATCCAGACGCCAGATATAAGTTGTGATGTTGTTTCTCTAGTGTGATCAGGACACTATAGTTCACTTCTGTGAGTGACGAGAGCAAAATAAAGTAAACTGAGACATATTACACACAATAACTCTTCATACAGTGACATTAATAAAACTTTCGGACACTTTGAGCTGATGATGTTCTGCTGAAGTGTGTTTTCTGCTCTTTTCACACACACACTGAACAACATTCGCATTGCTTGGTCACTGTTGAGCTAAACTGGTATTCTCTAATTTTGTAGTTAAAGGATTAGTTCACTTTTAAAAAACTTTGCTGATAATTTACTCGCCCCCGTGTCATCCAAGATGTCCATGTCTTTCTTTCTTCAGTCAAAAAGAAATTAAGGTTTTTGATGAAATCATTCCAGGATTTTCTCCATATAATGGACTTCAATGGGGTCCAAACGGTTCAAGGTCCAAATGAGAGTTTCAGTGCAAACTGTTCAAAGGGCTTTAAACGATTCCAGACGATGAATAAGGGTCTTATCAAGCGAAACGATCGCTCATTAAAAAAAATCACAAAATGTAAGTTTTATAAGCTCAAATGTTCGCCTTGCTCTGTTCTGTGATGTGTTTGTGACTCTCCTGTTCGAACTCGTTCATCAAAATGAACAAATCTTTTCCAGAGTCAACTCGTTCATTTAGTTCATTGAATGAACCAAATGACACGAAAAAAGATTCGTTCATTTTGATGAACGAGTTCGAACAGGAGAGTCACAAATACATCACAGGCGAGCGTTTGAGCTTATAAAACTTAAACTTTGATTTTTTTTTTTTTTTAATGAGCGCTCGTTTCACTTGATAAGACCCTTATTCATTGTCTGGAATCGTTTAAAGCCCTTTGAACAGTTTGTACTGAAAGTGTCTTTTGGAGCTTGAATCGTTTGGTCCCCATTGAAGTCAAAAACCTTAATTTCTTTTCGACTGAAGAAAGAGAGACATGGACATCTTGGATGACACGGGGGTGAGTAAATTATCAGCAAAAGGCTCACATTTATCACCATTTACTGAACTATAGCCAATGCACTGATGATGTGAGAAATGTTGAAGATGTGTGAGTAATGTTGGTTTGACTGTAAATAATCGTTTGTTTCAGATGAAACCTGTCCGGATGTGTCGTTGTACTGCTCTCTGGACTGTCCCCTGGGTTATGATAAGGACGTCTACGGTTGTGAAGTGTGTGAATGTAGCGTGTCTGCACCAAAGTGCCGACCCATGACCTGCAGCAAGACCTGCCCTTATGGATACGTGTAAGTGGATATCTCTGCACGCCGCAGAAAGCATCTTGTTGTCTTGTTCATCACCAGTATCTTCGTCTCAGACCCAAATAGAAGTATAATTTAAGCATAGATTCATACACTTATCACATGGATTTTTTAATTACGTTAGCATTGAGCAAGGTTATGCTAAGATGTCTTTTGCTAACTGAATCGCCTTAACGCTGCATCATTTTACACTATATATTTTTGGTACTCGTTACATGGCTATAACTTTTAAATGATGAGGTAAGGCACCATAAACCTCTTTCAAAGTGTGGAACCCAGGATTAAAAATGATTTCAGGGTTAAAATAATCTTAACCTAGGGTTAAAAGTGATTTCAGGGTTAAAATAATCTTAACCCAGGGTTAAAAGTGACCTCATCACTGGGTTAAAATAGTGTTAAATCAGGTTTAAACCTATTACTAACCTCTGTCTAAATATAAATGTAATATATAAGGTAATGACAGGACAGGGTTAAAATAGTATTATACCAGGGTTAATAATGACCTCCTCATGTGGTTAAAATAATGTTATGCCATATTTAAAAACATAGCTAACCTGTCTTAAAATCTGCATGAAACGTTGTTAATCCAAGGGTTAAAATAATGTTAGCCTAGGGTTAAACACAGTGCTAACCTCTGAATATTGATGTGAAGCGAAGTTTAACCCAGAGTTAAAAGGACCTCATCATGGGCTAAAATAATGTTAACCCAGGGTTAAAATCTGTGCTAACCTCTGTCTGAATATGACGTGACCGCATCACAGGTTTAAAATCATGTTAACCCAGGGTTAAATGCAGTGCTATCCTCTGTCTAAATACAAGTGTGAAATGTTTTGAACCAGGGTTAAACGTGATCCATATTAATAATAATAATAACCCAGGGTTAATTTTAATCCAAATAAAATATTTGTAACCCTTAAATGCAGTGCTCTTCTCTGTCTAAATACAAGTGTGAAAACATTGCTTAACCCAGGGTTAAAAGGGATTTAAATAATTTTGATCCAGTGTTGAAAACGACCTCATCACAGGTTTAAAACAATGTTTCCTCAGGGTTAAACTCAGTGCTGTCCTCTGTCTAAATACATGTGTGCAATATTTTGAACCAGGGTTAAAAGTAATCAAAATAATAATAACCCAGGATTAAAATAGATTAAAATAATGTTAACCCTTGAATGCAGTGCTCTTTCCTTTCTAAATACAAGTGTGCAACATTGTTTAACCCAGGGTTAAAAGGTATTTAAACAAATTTGATCCAGTGTTAAAAACAGCCTCATCACAGGGTTAAAACAAATGTTTCCTCAGGGTTAAGTAGTGCGCTATCCTCTTTCTAAATACAAGTGTGCATTATTTTGAACCAGGGTTAAAAGTGATCCAAATAATAATAAACCAGGGTTAATTTTAGCCCAGGGTTAAAATAGATTAAAATAATGTTAACCCTTAAATGCAGTGCTCTTCTCTGTCTAAATAAAAGAGGGCAACATTGTTTAACCCAGGGTTAAAAGGTATTTAAACAAATTTGATCCCATGTAAAAAAAAAAGAACTCATCTCAGGGTTAAAACAATGTTTCCTCAGGGTTAAGTAGTGTGCTATCCTCATTCTAAATACAAGTGTGCATTATTTTGAACCAGGGTCAAAAGTGATCCAAATAATAATAAACCAGGGTTAATTTTAGCCCAGGTTTAAAATAGATTAAAATAATGTTAACCCTTAAATGCAGTGCTCTTCTCTGTCTAAATAAAAGAGGGCAACATTGTTTAACCCAGGGTTAAAAGGTATTTAAACAAATTTGATCCCATGTAAAAAAAAAAAGAACTCATCTCAGGGTTAAAACAATGTTTCCTCAGGGTTAAGTAGTGTGCTATCCTCATTCTAAATACAAGTGTGCATTATTTTGAACCAGGGTCAAAAGTGATCCAAATAATAATAAACCAGGGTTAATTTTAGCCCAGGTTTAAAATAGATTAAAATAATGTTAACCCTTAAATACAGTGCTCTTCCCTGTCTAAATACAAGTGGGCAACATTGATTAACCCAGGGTTAAAAGGTATTTAAACAAATTTGATCCAGTGTTAAAAACAACCTAATCACAGGGTTAAAACAAATGTTTCCTCAGGGTTAAACAGCCTGACCCTCCAACACCGTGAACCTGGTCAAACATCTGGCCACTTTGCTCTCCTCGCACCCTGCTTTCATTTTAAAACCGTCCCTCGGTTTCAACACAGCGATCAAACGCAGGCCAACACAAAAGCGTCAGTATGTGAGCGTGAGGTGTGATTTCACTGGTGTCTGAACCACGAACCCCCAGTGGAGGATGGAGAGGATAGATTTTCACTGGTTTGAGCTCCCTCGGGGGGGCCGAGGGTTTCCGGGATCATTTCAGAAGAACCTTTTATAAGTTTGAGCCCCGTCTTTCGTCTCGCTCCAGAGGAAATCCCTGTTTATAGTGGCTCATGTCGAGATGGTCTTCTGCTTTGAGCGTTTGTTGCTGGAGGTTATTGCCAGTAAGATAAACAGATGCAACAAAGATCTGGAAACAGACCCAAAGATCATGACCATTTGAGGAAGATGATCCTCTTCTGTTTCGAAAATATCTTTAGCCGGTTCCAACAAACCCCTCAAGTTCAGAAAACCCTTTTGGATAATGTGTTTAGTTATTATGTTTTCTTCGCTTAAGGGGTTTATTGGAACCAGTGGGTCTTGTGCACTGGATTTTGTCCGAATTAGGCCTGATGTGATTATAATTGTGATGAATATATGCATTATGCACTATAAATACAATCACATATTATTATCGAAATAAGGGAAATTTAATCATGACTATGAATTGCCAGCCATATTTCCAGCTTTTGTCTCAGTGATTCTGGAATATGTAAACCGTGTCTCTGAATCTGTGAATTATGGTCCAGATGAATGATTGAGTCCTGTGCGTCACAGAGAACGAGTGACTGTTTACACTGACATTTTACACGCTCGAACGAGTCGGACTCCGCACAAAAGGGGTCTTAAATCGTTTCCCCTATTCAATGGGGCTAAAATGTCATTGGATTTGACAGGACGTAAAGGGCCGCTGGAATGCGTGTCGAGTCAGCAGTGAAAACGTTAAAGCTGGACTGTGTTTGTGTGCTGTACACCTCAACTGCATGCTGTCCAGCGAGGGGACGTGTTTGATTCTAGTTCAAGGAGTAGTTCCCTTTAAAATCAAAATCAGCCCATGATTTACTCTCCCTCAAACGATGATAGATTTCATAGATATAAGATAGAAGATGCACTTTTATGATGGACAGATGCACTTTTATGATGATAGATGCACTTTTATGATGGACAGATGCGCTCTTATGATGGATAGATGCACTTTTATGATGGACAGATGCACTCTTATGATGGATAGATGAACTTTTATGATGGACAGATGCACTTTTATGATGGACAGATGCACTTTTATGATGGACAGATGCACTTTTATGATGGACAGATGCACTTTTATGATGGACGGATGCACTTTTATGATGGATAAATGCACTTTTATGATGGACAGATGCACTTTTATGATGGATGGATGCACTTTTATGATGGACAGATGCACTTTTATGATGGACAGATGCACTTTTATGATGGACAGATGCACTTTTATGATGGATAAATGCACTTTTATGATGGACAGATGCACTTTTATGATGGATAGATGCACTTTTATGATGGATAAATGCACTTTTATGATGGACAGATGCACTTTTATGATGGATAGATGCACTTTTATGATGATAGATGCACTTTTATGATGGATAAATGCAGTTTTATGATGGACAGATGCACTTTTATGATGGACAGATGCACTTTTATGATGGACAGATGCACTTTTATGATGGACGGATGCACTTTTATGATGGATAAATGCACTTTTATGATGGACAGATGCACTTTTATGATGGATAGATGCACTTTTATGATGATAGATGCACTTTTATGATGGATAAATGCACTTTTATGATGGACAGATGCACTTTTATGATGGACAGATGCACTTTTATGATGGACGGATGCACTTTTATGATGGATAAATGCACTTTTATGATGGACAGATGCACTTTTATGATGGATAGATGCACTTTTATGATGATAGATGCACTTTTATGATGGATAGATGCACTTTTATGATGGACAGATGCACTTTTATGATGGATAAATGCACTTTTATGATGGACAGATGCACTTTTATGATGGATAGATGCACTTTTATGATGATAGATGCACTTTTATGATGGATAAATGCACTTTTATGATGGACAGATGCACTTTTATGATCGACAGATGCACTTTTATGATAGACAGATGCACTTTTATGTTGGATGGGTGCAATTTTATCATGCATAGATGGACTTTTTTGAGCTTCCAACTGTTTTTGCATTTCACTTCCATTATAAAGCTTGGAAGAGCCTGGACGACTACTTTAATGATCTTTCATATGTGATCTATGACGAGGTCTCTATCATTACTCAGTCATTAATATTTAATCCGCAGCCCTGAGCAAAAGTGATTCAGAGTTCATGAATCGGCTCATGTGGCGTTCGAACCTTCAACCTTTCAGTGATCAGCTCAGACATGAAGACATTTAACTTCCACATTCGATTTCGATTTCGATGTTGCAAAGTTCATTAATTTTGAAGCAAACTCAATTGTAATATTTCACCCTCATTAGGTTGGATTAAATATAGTGGGCATGATATTGTCCACTAACACTAGCGAGGGCTCTAGAGGTGTGTGTGTTTGAGCGATCTGGTGCTGCTTTTATCTGGACTCGTGAAGCTCATATAAAGCAGAACCAGATGCCCGTTAGACCCGTGTCAGCATCTGGATCCGGTGTATCGCACCCAAACTTTAATGAATCACGACGCTATACGCATAAAAGTGTCCTGCGTTGTTATGAGGTATCGTGAGATGTGCTTTCATCCGTCCTTAGAAGTTAAAGTGGGTCTGAACTGGAAACAGCAGTCGAGCTGCGCTTCTGTCGGCTAGTTAGTGCTGGGTGAACTGGTGACCTTGGGGAGCATTACAGAAAGATCCGAACTTTAGAGTCCTGTGTGATCTGGTTTAACAACCACGGCATTTTCTGTTAGGACCTCATTTAGGGCAAAAGCTATAGACCTTAAGCGCCAGAGACACAAGTGCGCAAAAATAGTCTGGTTACATGAGCCGAAGCGCTTTCCAATATGCAAAAGGTAATATCAGATCCTTCTAGAATACCGTATAGGATGTACCGAATATCCTTCAGTTTTATGCAAAGCAGAAATGCGACAAATAGAATATCAGATCTCTGTCATATGGCCAAAAATAAATGCTCATAAAAACATGTAGATTAATGTAATAATGTAGATTGTTCCAAAGCAGTTTTACAGATATAAACATATAATTTAAGGTAACAGAGATTGGTTTGGTTTTATAGCGTTAGGGTTAGGGTTAGGGTTAGAGTTAGCATTAGGGTTAGGGTTAGGGTTAGGGCGAATAACATTCGCTTTATTTATAGAGTGGAATAGGGAGAGGCTAGTCTAGTGCCAGTTGTCATCGGGTCTTTACACACCTTTTGTTTACATTTCTGTCAATAGATCCTTCTAAATATTACACACTGCACCTTTAAGATAGGATGTTTCTGTAATAAACACACACTGAGCTGATGTGTGTGTGTGTTGTGTGTCTCCCCACAGGAGGAATAAACACGGGTGTGAGATGTGCCGGTGCGTCAGGTGTCCTCCGTTCACCTGCGATAAACACTGTGTCGACGGATACAAGAAGAGCAGAAAGGGCTGCAGCGTCTGTGTGTGCAAAGGTGAGCTTGAGGATCACTGCAGGGGTCAGAGGTCACGAGGCAAGCAAACCATTCATAAAACCTCCACTCGTCATCCAGAGCATAATTATAAACTCATCATTGGCACAATATCAGCCGTTTGGAGGATGTTGACTCAGATGGAGACCGAGATTAAAACAGGATGTTATATTCATATTACGCTCTGATAATATCATTTTTAATGTGGTGACAGTACTAATGACATTTAAATGGTCAAGTATTAATATATTGAGGTTTAGTTGTAGTGGCTTTAATTTATGTTTTAAAACTAAATCCATGAAAAAAAAATTATTAAATAAAATAAAATCTGAAAAATAAACTTTCAGCTCGTTAAATGATTTGCTTAGTACAACTGAAATAAAAATGAATAAAAAGTATAGACATATTTTGAAGTAAAAATTACACAAAAAAAGACAAAAACTAAACTTAAATGGGAAATAAAAAAAATAATTCTATTTAACAGTAAATCAATGATAGTAATATCAATGTCTAGAGGCCTAGTTTATCAAGAGATGTTCCAGGAAACCATTCATAAGACCTCCAAATGCACAAAAAATGCAAGGGAACGGATGCTATGCACCTTAGGTTTGTAACTCATTAGCATAATTCCTGCCTCTGGTCCTGATTGGCTGAGCAGCGTCTCTTAGCTCCGCCCTCAAACACTAGTGTACCCGAGACTGGGAGAGTCGGGCTCGTGTTGTTGGTGTCCAGAAGACGCTGTTCTCCACTTTGATGAGATTGAGACGGTGAAACTACTGTTCGTATCACTGTGATCAAGAGCTGAGATTCAGATCTGACCAATCAGAGCAGAGCAGCTCTCAGAGAGGCGGAGCTTAGAGAGACACTGAGAGGAAAGAGCTGACGCTGCGGTGCAGATTATAAGAGAAAAATAATGTGATTTCTAGTCATTCTCTCCTGATGACACACTTCTTATTTGCGAGTTTAAAGGACTTGCTCGAGTGGTTTGTGGGCAAGTAATTTTAACTGTGTCAACTCAGTCTCATGCCTTTCTCTGTGTAAATATAGTGTGTTTGTGGAGTATATTTTAGTCATCTCGTCAGCGCTTGTGTTTGGTAGTAAACTCTATTTTCAAACATCTGGATCAGTTTTTAGTGTTTAAATATTTAGAGATGAAAACTCCACCATCACTTAAACTGCTTAAAGGAAGCAAACACACTTTCATTCAGTTCTGTTGATCCAGAGCATAATTATAAACTCATCATTGGCACAATATCAGCCGTTTGGAGGATGTTGACTCAGGTGGAGACCGAGATTAAAACAGGATATTATATTCATATTACTCTATGATAATATCATTCTAATATGGTGACAGTACTAATGACATTTAAATGGTCAAGTATTAATGCATTGAGGTTTAGTTGTACTCACTTTAATTTATGCTGATTTTACAAATAAAATAAAATATATAAAGTAAACGTTCAGGTCGATGCAACTACTTGTAGTAAACTAACAAACTGAAATAAAAATGAATAAAAACTATACATATTTTGAAAAAACAAGTAAAAGTGACAAAAACTAAAATGTGAAATATAAAAATAAATACTATATAATAGTATATCAATGATAGTAAAATATCCCGTGTGAGCTTGTGTTGTTGTTCGGTCTGTCCTCAGACACACACAGGAGTGTTCCCAGCACCGTCTCGTCCGTCACCGTCTCCTCCAGCTTCTGTCTGTTGGCCGGCGGCCGGCGCGTCGAGGAGGGACACGTGTGGCACGACGGGTGCCGGGACTGTTTCTGCCACGCCGGCCGAGAGATGTGTGTGTTGATCTCCTGCCCGGTGCCCTCCTGTGCCCATCCGGTGCTCCGACCCGAGCAGTGCTGCCCCGGCTGTGAGGGTACGTCATACACACTCACACACGCTCACACACACATTTATCATGAGGAGAGCCCCGGTAGTGGTTTGAAATTAACTTTTTCACTCACCGGCCAATTTGGCTGTTACGTTTTTAAGTTACCGGCTATTCAGATATTCTGCTGGACAGAAAAGAAAAAGGAGCCAGATTAACTATGTCACATCTTATATATATATATATAAACGCGTTATTAACAGCGTTAAGGCCCTTGCACACTGAGTCCGAAATTCGCGTTCGAAATTTTCGCAAGTTAAAAAATAAATACGACCTCATGTTATGTCAATCACGCTTGCACACCGTCTCTGAAACTATCGTCCGTCGTAAAAAAAAATCGAATCAAGTTCAATTTTCTGCGTTTTTCGCATCCGTAGCGAGCAGTTTGAATGTAGTTTTGACAATTCAGAGCCACCGAATCACGAATACACAAAAAACGCATACGAATATTTCGGACTTTGCCTTTAACGCAAACCCATTTTAACGCGATACATTTTTTTATTGTTAGATTAATGCTCTTTTTGGCCTAGCAAACTTTGTAGTTTTTATTTTTTTCACGTGCTTTTTTCACAGGACGTGGCATGCGCTGCGCTATAATACCTATTGTCTTCATTGGCTTGTGCTGCGCGATGACGTTTCGTTGCTTCGTTGACCAAAGCGCAAGAGCAGCGGCGCGCACACCACGGTCAAAATTATAAATACTTCAACTTTTGCCGCTATTTGGCATCCAAAAAGTTTTGAAAACTGGTGTAGCGCCGCGAATTGCGCGTCCTCTCTGAAAGCGACGGATCTAGCTATACCGGAAACACACGTGTTGTGAGCCGGCTAAATAGTAGGTTAACGTTACATTTTGAGTGGATGACGAAAGCGAAATGGATGCCAATAAGATTCTGAATGAAAAGTTTACTATAAAAAGTTGCCAAACACACACACACACACACACCTCGTCAATTATCAGGACCTCGTCAGTATTTCCTTCAGCCTTTTATTGATATACAGTGTTACATTGTGTGAGAGATTATTTGCTCCAATTGAGAATGTTGACACAGTAATTTGTGTGAAATTGAACACGGTACATGTCAGTGTCGTTTTAAATAAAAAACATTTGCACAAAGCAAGCCGATCCACTTTTCCATGTTGTTAAGAGCATTAAAATGAGAAAAAATAATGGGACATGAGACATTTAGAATTGATAAAAATGTGCGATTAATTGAGATTAATCACAAGTTAACTAATCGCGATTAAATATTTTAGTTCATATATATATATATATATATATATATATATATATATATACTAAACAAAATTATAGACGCAACACTTTTGTTTTTGCCCCCGTTTTTCATGATCTGAACGTATGTACACAAAAGCCCTATTTCTCTCAAATATTGTTCACAAATCTGTCTAAATCTGTGTTAGTGAGCCCTTCAGAGTGTGTGGCATTTCCAGAAGTGGATTAGACAGTTTGATTATTGCACAGGTGTGCCTTAGGCTGTCCACAATAAAAGGCCGTTTTACTGTATCGGAACATTTCGGAACATCTGAGTTTTGATCCGTGTTGACAACAGTTGTGTGTGTGTGTGTGTTGTGGAGCAGACGAGTCGGGCAGCGGGCAGCCGGAGGGAATGGATATGGTGGTGTGTCGCGCTCCGGGTGGAGAGCTGTACGTGGAGGGAGACACGTGGAGTCTGGACGAGTGTACGCGCTGCACATGCCGACAGGGACGAGTGCTGTGCGACGCTGAAGTGTGTCCTCCACTTCTCTGTCACGCTGCCGTCAAGAGCAAAGACACCTGCTGCTCCGTCTGCCCAGGTACGAGATCACACACACACTGACACACATCCCGTAGCGGGAGGCGGAGGGGTTCAGAGTAAATCTGCTTACAGAGAACAATGAGACGACTGTCACTTTACACTCTTATTTTGTCTGATTAACATTAAACACATTGTCCAGAACTAAAACAAAAGATCATATCACACCAATTTTAAAATCTCTACACTGGTTATCTGATTTTAAAGTTCTTTTTCTTGAATCCAGATTAAAAACAAAACGATGCCTTCTACTAACCCTCTCTTGTACCTGTGGTCTGTAAACTCGTGTCTTTTTTGTGTGTATTATGTTCCCTGTGAAGTTTCATCATTGTTAATCATTGTAACCAAGGACGTAACTTTGGTTTGAGAAGTGGGAGGGGGGGGGGGCACACAATTATTATTATTATTATAGTTTATTTAGATAGGGACAGTGAATCTGATGCATGTATCAATGTTTTTAGCCAAAGCTAATTTACAACATTAGTCCCTAGAAGGGCTTTTTTAGTTAAATGCAATACATGCGATAAAATACATGAGCAATGCAATACAATAGGGCTTTTTGATAAAATGCAATACAACGGCAAAAATACTAGTAGAGAGAAAAATATGGTGGGGGAAAACGTTTTCGATTTGAATCCCATCACATTTAGGGACTATGATGATACAAAAACCAGGAAATAATTTGATTATAATGATAAATTCTGACAAAAAGGAATAGTAGGCTATATTTATAAGAAAAATGTCTTACTTTATTGTTTATAGGGGCCGATCGCCAAGACTTTAGAAAATATTTTTATTAAGTCAAAATGTTAGCCATTAATGTTTTGTGTGTAAATAAAAATGTAAATAATGTGAGCTTCAATTTCCACTGAAATGTAGAAACAAAGACAGTTTCTTTAAAGGGATAGTTCGCCCCAAAATGAAAATTCTGTCAGTATTTACTCTCCTTGATATTGTCCAACCCCTTTTGAATTTCATTCGTCTTCAGAACATGAATTAAGGTATTTTTGATGAAATCTGAGAGCTGGATCACTCCTCCATACTAGTACATAGGCTTCTAAGGGATTGAAACTTGCCGACCCAGAAAAGTTATTGAAGACATCATTAAAATAGTCCAAGTGACTTCAGTGGCTCAATCTTAAGTTTATCAAGCGATGAGAACACTTTTTGTGTGCAAAAAAAAACGACTTTATTCAACTATTAATTTCCTTCTGTAGTCACTTGGACTATTTTAATCTTAATTTGTGTCCCGAAGATGAACGAAAGTCTTAAGGCCATTGCACACCGAGTCCGAAATTCGCATCCGAAATTTTCGCACGTTAAAAAAAAAATTCGACCTCACGTTATGTCAGTCACGCTTGCACACCGCCTCCGAAACTTTCGTCCGTCATAAAATTAATCGGATCTGGTTCGATTTTCTGCGTTTTTCGCATCCAGAGCCAGCATTTTGAGAGGTCTTTTGACAATTCAGGGCCGGGGGGAGCTCGTCCTCAAATCATTGCACATATGCGCCGTGCTTTCAGTTTCGGTTTTCAATTCGATCAAGTGTTTATGTTCTCTTCTCTATATTGGATTATGAAATTAATAAACCTCCCCTTTCAATCAGATTGAAATTTAGGATCAAATAAGGTGTGATTGAGCAGCCTATTCGATAACTAATGTACAATAAAACAGCCTAGCTGTTCTGTCTGCCCAGCGCTTCCAACGGGCCGCGCGCGGGTGTGTGTTGTTTGTCCGTGTGTGTGTGTCCATACCTGGTCCATTTCAGACACACTGCCAGTCTCCGTTCAGAATCGATTGGTTCACGGAAATTGGTGGTCTTGTTTTTAATATGTGGCTCCAGAATCGCTAGCAAAGCATCGAACTGTCCCACTGACATTCTGAGGTAAATTTTGAATCGCTCAGGATAAATTCGCAACTCCTTGATAAGGAACTCTCCTTCCTCTCGGCGCAATTTCAGGATTGGATGGATGTAATATTTTCTCTTTCTTCCCTTTTCAATAAGAGAGAGGACAAAAATCATCCTCACTGCTTGACGAATCCATTTGGTATTTTTGCGTTTTTTCCCGCAAAGGTTTAAGAAATACGCAACGGACTCGGTGTGCAAGGTTTCTATGCGTGACGAATTTTTAAGCTGACGAACACGAAAATACGCATACGAATATTTCGTGCTCGGTGTGCAATGGCCTTTACAGGGTTGAACAACATGAGGGCGAGTAATTACTGACAGAGTTTACATTTTGGGGTGAACTAACCCTTTAATATAATTGTTTAATTTATCTTTAAGAATGACGGCCAGTATCACTGATATTATAGCTACTGATGTCTCGACAAAAATGATTCACAAATTTTAAACATTTATTAGGCTTCAAAAATATAACAACTTATAATTTAAGTGAACTTAAAACAAACGTTCAAGCATTATTTAGTCAAGAGAAGTTAGTTATATTTTCTGTTCCCTTTGTTCTTTGGTTAACTTTACCTACATAGAGAATTAATGGATGCCGTCACTTTAAGTGTTATACTGACAGGATCTCATTTGAATTGATTGATGTAAATCAATTTTTAATTATTTCATAAGTGTTATGATTATGTAAAACACATTGGGCCACCATTCTGTGTATGAAATGGACTATATCAATAAACCTGAACCTGTGTGTGATCATGTTGTGTGTTTCTGCACAGAGGACACCCTGGAGCCGGCACACAGCAGCGGTCAGGAGTGTGTGTCCAGCGGCGGAGAGGTCCTGCTGTCCGGAGACTCGTGGAGGAGCGACGCCTGCAGAAGCTGCACCTGCAGAGACGGAGCCGTCCAGTGCTTCTCCCAGACCTGTCCCGCTCTCTCCTGCAGAGTCCCTGTGCTGAGGAAGGGCCAGTGCTGTCCACAGTGCCTGGGTACACACACACACACACACACACACAGACACACACACTCTCTTCAGATGTCAGTATATACAGTAGTCTCTCTCTCTGTCTGTCTGTCTGTCTCTCTCTCTCTCTCTCACTCACTCACTTTATCCCATTCAGTCGTGTGTCCATTACAATTTACATCACATGTCGGCCGCCTTTTTTTTTAAGTTCTGGAGCATTTCACCTAGTTTAAAACCTGCAGTCCATGACATTGGATGTTTGTCATCCGATCAAATGCCAGTAAAGCTCTGCATGTAGTAATTATATATAAAAAAACGTTGTGCCATGGCATAAATGCTACGTGGGATGTCCATATCTCGGCTCTGGAAGGCTCTAGAGCCTCCATTTTTGCACTCAGGTCTAAGTCCCATGGCCCTCTATCAGAATCCAGAGTTTCAAGAAGATCAGAGCAACTCAAAATTTCGACCCCCGAAAAAAAAACGAGTGTTACCCCTTTCGTTTTTTTCGTTTTCGGGCGAAAAATTAAGTTTCTCCAATCTTCTCAAAACTCTGGATTATGATAGAGGGCCACGAGACTTTGACCTGAGAGCAAAAATGGAGGCTCTAGACCCTTTCTGAGCTGAGATATAAAAATTTCGACCCGAAAAAAAAACGACAGTGTTACCCCTTTCGTTTTTTTCGTTTTCGGGCGAAAAATTAAGTTTCTTCAATCTTCTCAAAACTCTGGATTCTGATAGAGGGCCACGAGACTTTGATCTGAGTGCAAAAACGGAGGCTCTAGACCCTTCCAGAGCTGAGATATCAAAAATCAAAATTTCGACCCGAAAAAAAACGACTTTAGTTTTTTTTGTTTTCGGGCGAAAAATTAAGTTTCTCCAATCTTCTCAAAACTCTGGATTCTGATAGAGAGCCACAAGACTTTGACCTGAGTGCAAAAATGGAGGCTCTAGACCCTTCCAGAGCTGAGATTTCAACATTCAAAATTTCGACCCGAAAAAAAAAACGACAGTGTTACCACTTTCGTTTTTTTCCGTTTTTGAGCGAAAAATTAAGTTTCTCCAATCTTCTCAAAACTCTGGATTCTGATAGAGGGCCACGAGACTTTGACCTGAGTGCAAAAATGGAGGCTCTAGACCCTTCCAGAGCTGAGATTTCAACATTCAAAATTTCGACCCGAAAAAAAAACCGACAGTGTTACCCCTTTCGTTTTTTTCGTTTTTGGGCGAAAAATTAAGTTTCTCCAATCTTCTCAAAACTCTGGATTATGATAGAGGGCTGTGAGACTTTGACCTGAGTGCAAAAATGGAGGCTCTAGACCCTTCCAGAGCTGAGATATCAACATTCAACATTTCGACCCGAAAAAAAAACGACAGTGTTACCCCTTTCGTTTTTTTCCGTTTTTGGGTGAAAAATTAAGTTTCTCCAATCTTCTCAAAACTCTGGATTATGATAGAGGGCTGTGAGATTTTGACCTGAGTGCAAAAATGGAGGCTCTAGACCCTTCCAGAGCTGAGATATCAACATTCAACATTTCGACCCGAAAAAAAAACGACAGTGTTACCCCTTTCGTTTTTTTCCGTTTTTGGGTGAAAAATTAAGTTTCTCCAATCTTCTCAAAACTCTGGATTATGATAGAGGGCCACGAGACTTTGACCTGAGTGCAAAAATGGAGGCTCTAGACCCTTCCAGAGCTGAAATTTCAACATTCAAAATTTCGAACGGAAAAAAAACGACAGTGTTACCCCTTTCGCTTTTTTCCGTTTTCGGGTGAAAAATTAAGTTTCTCCAATCTTCTCAAAACTCTGGATTATGATAGAGGGCCACGAGACTTTGACCTGAGTGCAAAAATGGAGGCTCTAGACCCTTCCTGAGCTGAGATATCAAAATTCAAAATTTCGACCCGAAAAAAAAACGACAGTGTTACCCCTTTCGTTTTTTCGTTTTCGGGCGAAAAATTAAGTTTCTCCAATCTTCTCAAAACTCTGTATTCTGATAGAGGGCCACGAGACTTTGACCTGAGTGCAAAAATGGAGGCTCTAGACCCTTCCAGAGCTGAGATATCAACATTCAAAGTTTCGACCCGAAAAAAAAAAACGACAGTGTTACCCCTTTCGTTTTTTTCCGTTTTCGGGCGAAAAATTAAGTTTCTCCAATCTTCTCAAAACTCTGGATTATGATAGAGGGCTGTGAGACTTTGACCTGAGTGCAAAAATGGAGGCTCTAGACCCTTCCAGAGCTGAGATATCGAAATTCAAAAATTTCGACCCGGAAAAAAAACCACAGTGTTACTTACCCCTTTCGTTTTTTTCCGTTTTTGGGTGAAAAATTAAGTTTCTCCAATCTTCTCAAAACTCTGGATTATAATAGAGGGCCACAAGACTTTGACCTGAGTGCAAAAATGGAGGCTCTAGACCCTTCCAGAGCTGAGATTTCAACATTCAAAATTTCGACCGGAAAAAAAAACGACAGTGTTACCCCTTTCGTTTTTTTCCGTTTTCGGGTGAAAAATTAAGTTTCTCCAATCTTCTCAAAACTCTGGATTCTGATAAAGGGCCACGAGACTTTGACCTGAGTGCAAAAATGGAGGCTCTAGACCCTTCCAGAGCTGAGATATCAACATTCAAAATTTCGACCCGAAAAAAAACGACAGTGTTACCCCTTTCGTTTTTTTCCGTTTTCGGGCGAAAAATTAAGTTTCTCCAATCTTCTCAAAACTCTGGATTATGATAGAGGGCTGTGAGACTTTGACCTGAGTGCAAAAATGGAGGCTCTAGACCCTTCCAGAGCTGAGATATCGAAATTCTAAATTTCGACCCGGAAAAAAAACGACAGTGTTACCCCTTTCGTTTTTTTCGTTTTTGGGCGAAAAATTAAGTTTCTCCAATCTTCTCAAAACTCTGGATTATGATAGAGGGCTGTGAGACTTTGACCTGAGTGCAAAAATGGAGGCTCTAGACCCTTCCAGAGCTGAGATATCGAAATTCAAAATTTCGACCCGGAAAAAAAACAACAGTGTTACCCCTTTCGTTTTTTTCGTTTTTGGGCGAAAAATTAAGTTTCTCCAATCTTCTCAAAACTCTGGATTATGATAGAGCAGCCTTTCTCAAAGTGGGTGCCGCGGCACACTGGGGTGCCCCCTAGCTGTGTCAGGGGTGCCGCCAAAAAATTACGTAGGCTAAAAAAAATGTGAAAAAAAAAACCCCCCAGAAAAAAAACAGCTGACATTTCATATATAAATATATTTGAATTTACATTCTTCTTTTTAAACATATGAACATACAGTATTAATAAAATTGTAAATTCATTTTAGATAAATATATAAAATTAATCATAAAAAATCCGTCTCACAAGACCGAAGCAAGACACACACAACTTGACGCAAGTGACGCAATCCATAGCAACGCGTTATAGCAACACCTCAGACTGACAGAAACGTAAAAATAAACGTGAATTTAGGCCACTTTAGTTACAGCATTATGGATCGTTTTTTGAAAAGAAAATCCCCACAAGAGCCGGGGATTTTTATTTTATTTTATCTGCATCCTGCACTTCATTTGAGTCCTGGTCTGGATTTGTTATTGGGTTCTTGTATTGGGCGGTCCACCTCTTACGGTTTTATGGCATTTGTGTCTCTGATTAATTATTTTGTGAATTACTTTCCAAACCTGTGTTTTTAAAGGTGCTATAAAGTTTTTATTATTATTGTTATTTACAGTTCATATTATGCTCTGTTCATTACTGTTCTGTCTAACTAAACAAGACATTTGCATTTAAATTTGGGTAATGCAGTGTTTTTAAATTATATTTTACACTGGGGTGCCTTGAGATTTTATGCACTTTTGAAAGGTGCCCTGACTGAAAAAAGTTTGAGAAAGGCTGCTCTAGACCCTTCCAGAGCTGAGATATCAACATTCAAAATTTCGACCCGAAAAAAAACGACCGTGTTACCCCTTTCTTTTTTTTCCGTTTTCGGGCGAAAAATTAAGTTTCTCCAATCTTCTCAAAACTCTGGATTATGATAGAGGGCTGTGAGACTTTGACCTGAGTGCAAAAATGGAGGCTCTAGACCCTTCCAGAGCTGAGATATCAACATTCAAAATTTCGACCGGAAAAAAAAACGACAGTGTTACCCCTTTCGTTTTTTTCCGTTTTTGGGCGAAAAATTAAGTTTCTCCAATCTTCTCAAAACTCTGGATTCTGATAGAGGGCCACGAGACTTTGACCTGAGTGCAAAAATGGAGGCTCTAGACCCTTCCAGAGCTGAGATATCGAAATTCAAAATTTTGACCCGAAAAAAAAAACGACAGTGTTACCCCTTTCGTTTTTTTCCGTTTTTGGGCGAAAAATTAAGTTTCTCCAATCTTCTCAAAACTCTGGATTCTGATAGAGGGCCACGAGACTTTGATCTGAGTGCAAAAACGGAGGCTCTAGACCCTTCCAGAGCTGAGATATCAAAAATCAAAATTTCGACCCGAAAAAAAACGACTTTAGTTTTTTTTGTTTTCGGGCGAAAAATTAAGTTTCTCCAATCTTCTCAAAACTCTGGATTCTGATAGAGAGCCACAAGACTTTGACCTGAGTGCAAAAATGGAGGCTCTAGACCCTTCCAGAGCTGAGATTTCAACATTCAAAATTTCGACCCGAAAAAAAAAAACGACAGTGTTACCCCTTTCGTTTTTTTCCGTTTTTGGGCGAAAAATTAAGTTTCTCCAATCTTCTCAAAACTCTGGATTCTGATAGAGGGCCACGAGACTTTGACCTGAGTGCAAAAATGGAGGCTCTAGACCCTTCCAGAGCTGAGATATCAACATTCAAAATTTCGACCCGAAAAAAAAAACGACAGTGTTACCCCTTTCGTTTTTTTTCGTTTTTGGGCGAAAAATTAAGTTTCTCCAATCTTCTCAAAACTCTGGATTATGATAGAGGGCTGTGAGACTTTGACCTGAGTGCAAAAATGGAGGCTCTAGACCCTTCCAGAGCTGAGATATCAACATTCAAAATTTCGACCCGAAAAAAAAACGACA